ACAATCCAGGCAATAAGAGAAGCCTTGGAAGAAGGAAAAAAAGAGATGAAAGGAATTGCACTGGGGTTATGCCAATGGAAGGACAGAAATATGTGGTACGATGGAAAACAATGGATCCCGGAAGGAGAGGAGATAAGGACAGACATCATACGACAACACCATGATATCCGAATGGCAGGACACGGAGGAACCGCTAAAACCACGGAATTCATCACGAGGTCATTTTATTGGCCAGGACTGCGCGAAGGTATCAAACGATATGTCAAAAACTGTGACATATGCCAGAGAACGAAAACGGCTAAACATGCACCATATGGATTACTAAAATCAAATAAAGTCCCTGAACAACCATGGGAAACAATTACTATGGATTTCATCACGGACCTACCAACATCGGAAAATTGCGATAGCATCCTAGTCGTGGTGGATCGCCTGACCAAAATGAGTCATTTCATTCCGGTTAGAAAAGACATCAACACAAGGGATTTTATACAAACATTCTTCCGAGAGGTCTTTCGACTTCACGGCCTCCCCAAGAATATCATTACCGATCGAGGAACACTATTCACATCGGGACTATGGAAGAAAGTAACCGGAGAAATGGGAATACAAAACAGAATGAGCACAGCGTTCCACCCACAAACGGATGGACAAATGGAACGGGTAAATGCGATACTCGAACAATATTTAAGGGCCTACGTCAATTATCAGCAAGATGATTGGTACAAGCTGTTATCTATGGCCGAATTCGCATACAACAATGGAAAGCAAGAAACAATTGGTACGACACCCTTCTTCGCAAATTACGGACAACATCTACAAAGTCAGACCACATATCATACGATTATTGATGTGATACCGGATAAAACAGATATGGGGAAACTACACGAAACATTACAATACGAAATGAGTCAAGCACAACAACGACAGAAGGAACAATACGATAAGCATCGAAGACCAGATCCGAACATACGACCAGGAGATATGGTATGGCTAATATCACGCAACATTCATATGACGCGACCATCAAAGAAATTGGACTACAAGAAAATAGGACCATTCCGGATACTGGAAAAAGTGGGCAGTCAAGCTTATAAACTCAACCTTCCCCCCTCAATACGAATACACAACACATTCCACATCTCACTCCTCGAATTATATAACGACAATAAGTTTCCTTCCCAAACACTTATTCCTCCCCCTCCGATCGAACTCGATGGAGAACCAGAATACGAGCTCGACGAAATAGTCGATTCCCGCTTCTTCCACGGTCACCTCCAATACCGAGCCAAGTGGACAGGATACTCTCCTGAACACGATAAAACTTGGTACTTCGCACACAACTTCGAAAACACACAAGATGCCATCTCAACCTTCCACCCGCGATACCCAGGCAAGCCCGGCCCAGGTGACGATCACGTTCAACCAAGAGAAAAGCGAGGGAAAGACTCCCGCACCATTACAGCAACACGAGAGCTGGGGTGATAGCCCCCGCCAAACTACACCCACCAGCCCTGAATACTCATTCATGGGGCCAACCGACGAAGAACTCGAGGAAAGGGAAAGACAAGCACAGCATAACGCCATGTCAAGGACGGTATGCTACGATGACGGTTGCCAAACACACTTTGGCAACAAAGAAGGCTCGGGATGGTTCCCGAGGGAATGTCGAAAGCGTGGCCCACGCCTGGACCATGTTCTAAAGTATTGGCAACAATGCTTCAGAAATGGGTGCAGGATGCACAGGGCACAGAAAATATCTGCAGTATTCTACCCGCAGAAGGATGGGAGCAGAAAAGAGTTGGAAGGAGAAGATGCCAGAAAGGCATGGGCCGCGAGGACGCAGTCCAGAGAGGGTGGGGCCCAAAACTCCTTAGCAGACATGGAACCGGACGTGAGGAGCCTACACAGACAGATCCAGGGACTCCGAGAACAACTGGGCCAAGGCGAGGCCACAATTTCGGCAAACGACAAAACGATTGCGGAGTTAAAACAGCTGAACGAAAATCAGCGGCACACAATCGAAATGGCGAACCTGACTCTGGAATCGGTGAGGGTCAGATGGAGGACGGCAGACGACAAGTTCCACAAGCTGAGAAGGACCATGCGCTCGGCAGGACGGGAACTATTGAAACTGGGAGAAAAGGCCTGATGGGACTCAGGTTTAGGAGGAGGGGAGCTAATGTCACGAATGTGGCTTGGCATGGAAAAGGTTTTCACGTGACACATGGTTATGAGTCACAGGTATGTTATTGTTTTGCGCATATAACTCATTCGGGTTATATGATTTGTTATGCGTGGGATTTGTGATGCTTTCGCACATGGCTCAAATATGAGTCATGGGACATGTGCCTGACGAGTATGCCTTGCAAGTGTGCCTTGCGGGTAAGCCTTGCACAGATGATTTATGTTTCGCACATGACCTCATTATGAGGTCATGGGTTTCGCGCATATGACTCAGTCGAGTCATATGACTTGTTTATTGTATTATGATTGGTTTATGAGTTTTGCACATGACCTCGCTATAAGGTCATGGGTTTTGAGCATGTGATCACTTTGGTCACATGACTAGTGTGTTATGATTTGGTTTCGCACATGTGACCACTTTAGGTCACATGATTAAAGGCGGGAAGAACACTATATAAGGAGGCCGATGCGGCCGAGGAAGATAGGTTCTTCACGTTTTGTTCTAAGTACTTTTCCTACTTATTACTTTAACGAATATAAAACACCTTTACGATCTTTATCCTTATTGCAACGTTATCATTACACCAAGAAGTACTCGTCACGAAGACGAGTTAGAGAAAGCTTACGATAGGTGTTTCCGATAGAAGACAAAGGTCTTGTACTATCAGTAACATAGGTAGAGGCCTAGAGCTATCATAAGACAAAGAAAGAAAGAGAAAGAAAAGATAAGTATCGTTCCCCGTCGCCAAGAACTAACTATATGAAAGGGGATCGTTACAACAAGACATAATATACTCAAGCAAGGTACCAGGAGTATGGTATGCCAATGTTCAATTGACCCCCATGCTCCCCTGACCTGAATTCGATTGAGAATGTTTGGAATCTTTTAAAAGACATACTTGATGCCTAGCAGCCTCGCGTTTGGGGAAAAGCTGCCATGGTAGCTGCAGTTCAGGAAGAATGGGATCAGATATCTCTATTTGATGTGGTTTCCTTCATTGATTCCATGCCCGAATAGATTGAGGCTGTTATAGCTGCTAATAGAGGACAAACTCGCTGGTAAACTAGACCAATCATTTTTTCATTTTCTCTTATTTTTAATTTTCAATATTTACAATTGTTTATTTATATTTATTATATCTATCTCAATGTACTCTATATACAAATATTCAATAGTTTATAATCATTTATAAGTTTTTGGGAAGTTATTTAACAATCTTTGTTCAGGGGCTAACTGCCATTTTAGTCTAAGTACACCAACATTCAGGCATCTTCCGCCCTCCCTTCAGCTTATGACAGGGGCCCCCTGTTTCCGAATACTTCTTGCCTGGGACGTGTACTCCTCTGTCAGTCCATTGCAGTTGAGACTGTTAATTGGTGGTCAATTGCATAAATGCCAACCAACCCCTACTTGTTTCACCTTACTTGCCAGCTCAAGGCATTTCCAACGACATGTTGGTCACACGATGCGTCATATCTTACCGCTATGATAGTTTTTTTATCAAGTGCATATCTTCACATTAGCCGTGCCAAGGTTGCGAAAGCAACCTCGCAAGAGAGTGCCCGACAGCTCAACTACAGATTCAATTTGTATGTGAATTCAAGAATTACGAACCAACTACCAAAAATTCTCTGATGGTTTAAATGTCCTTCCGGCTTTCTCACATATTCTTTCCTCTCTTTTACAACTTTTATTCACATGTGGTGGGACTTTGATTAGGGAGGTTTTGCTACGACGGTCGTAAAAAACTTGAAACTTTCCTTATCACCACAGCAACGGCACCTGGCACTAACCCCTCCACATGTGCGATAGTGCTTGGTGGCTCAACTTTGCACAGTCTCAAGAACAGTTCTTATATCCGAGTAGGACGGTCGTAAAGTGGATGTATTTACACCTTTGTTTACCAAAAATTGGTATCATATGGTTTGCACCGAAGCTAGGTGAGGGGTTTTCAACCCGCACCAAGTTTTGTACCGGCACTGTGCTTAGCAAAATGCCAGTGTTCTGACTTTGTTGCAACATTCATAATTCGCCACAAAAATAAGCACAGTTCTGGATAGTACGACGGTCGTAACAAAACCTCCCTATTTGGGTTAAGCTTGAAAGTGTCGTTGAGGGCCCGAGGTTGCGAAAGCAACGGTGGGGTTGCGGCGGAGCCACAACATTGGAACGGTTACGAAAGTTCTGTACCAGCCGATTCATAAAGTATCCGGACACCTTGGCACTGTGGCCGCCTGTATTGGCGCCAAGTGTCCGGATACTTTATGAACCCGCTAGTGTGTAGCCATGAACATGAACTTGCTCTTGTTGCCACAGCAGCAGTCACCCACTACCCAAACATGGTTGGGAAGGCAAGCTGATTCAGGTGCACGACAGAAAGCAGGCTAAGCGTGAACTTGTGTAGTTCGTGAATTGGTGTGAACTTGAGCATGTAAAGAATGTAAGCAAAGTGGCTGATTGACCCAGAATTATTTTACGCAAGTTAGTATGATAGCATGCGTCTATTCTGGATAGGGATAAATTTATCATGTTCAGGTTCGGGTGCTGGGATATTTTGATGAACAGGATAGTCCATTTGTGGCACAATGCAGCGTTCATGTTCAAGCACTCGACAGAGCCTCCCTCTTTGCGTGGCTGTGCCCAAACGGTTTCCAAGACAGACACAACAACCCTAACCCCGCCGGCAAGTTCCGCCCGTGACACCAAGAAAGGCCAGATTAGCCAGACTGAGCTCATGCTCAACCTCACCTCTGTCCGAGCTTTGTCAGGCACATCACTATCGCCACTACCACCCCCTCCATCACCACCTCCAGGTATCTTCCCCCAGCGGTAACGAGAAAGAAAGAAAAGAGAAAACCGAAATCCTCTTTCCTTTTCCTCCTGCTTCACCCCTCCTAAAACTTGTAGAAGGAAAAAGGAGGTAAACGAAACAGCAAGAGTAAAAAACCATGGACCAGATCCAAAGTATAATCGATGGCTTCATCGTAACTTGCCCCACCCCCTCCCCGCCCCCTCCCCTTCCTCACCGCCATTGGCTAATCTGAGAAAACCAAAAATTAGGACTTCGAAGGCCAACGTCTCGCTGAAACCCTAACAACTGCAATCCTCGTTCTCGCAGGTGTAACTAACCCCCCCTCCCTCTCCTTACGATAAATAAACACAAGCAGCTCACAGACATCTCTCGCTCGCTTCAGGTACTAGCTTTCATAGTCGGTTACGTCCTGTCGGACCTCAAATACACTGTTTATATCGGGCTCAGTGGCACGGTGATCGCGTTCCTGGTGGTGGTCCCGCCGTGGGGTATTTACAAGAGGAATCCGTTGACGTATTTGCCCGCCAGCGGGGTGCAGGTTCAGATGGTTGATGGGGATGCTGATGGTGGGAAGGAGAAGGAAGGGAAGAAAGTCAAATGAATGTCGGGGCTAGGGGGAGGGGCTCTTTCGGCTGTGTTGGATTGTGTTGGGCTGGATCGGGTTTGAAATCTTTGCTCTGTTTGATGGGAGGAGGAAGAGCAAGGGGAAGGAACCCTCTGTAGGATAGTTATGGAGGAAGTACGAAGCAGAGTGAAGGCTGGCAATAGAAACTTTGCTGTCGGATATTATTATTTTCCATTTTCCACCTTCACCTTGCCGGATTGCACAGACTTCCGGATTTTCCACTGATGAGGTTCTATCATGGTGGAATCTGGGGTTATGCTTCAGGAAGAAACTTCCCGGGCAGAACCATCTATGCAAGTATCACCCGCAGAGTATCATACTTGTGTGATCTTCTGTTCCTAGGCTACAAAAGCACAAGTTCAGAAAAACTGCCGCTACTAATATCCCCCCCAATTGCCGGAAACAATCGCCTCGACCATAGAAACACCTGGAATTGCGGAGCTTCTTTTAAACAAACCACCTCCCGCCCTGTACGATATTGAGTATAATAGCACAGCTGAACCTCCACCAGTGCAGCCACCATGTCTTCAGCCCCCTCTATAACCCGTTCACCATAAATGCCATGGATATGGTTCTGCTAGGTGTCTTGATTGAACCGGAGAAAAAGCCAGGTACATATCATATTCCTCTGCACTGGGGATCTATTCTACCACAAGACCTAATCCCCATCGGGAATACGTGGCGGATTCCTAAACCCTGGATTGAAACAAAAGATCGCTCCTCCGGCACCCGGGCAGAAATGCCAGTGTCATGCCGCGCAAGAGCAATGGGAAAAGCTGGAACCCACGAATCGGGACCCACTTATCCATACTGTGCCGAACAGACTCTAGGGATCGCCCACAAACTTTGTATTAATTACCACACCATTCCTTCTCTGCCCCGTACTGTGCTCGAGCATTTAGGAGAGCACCCCTTCGCCACAATTCCCGAGAACGGGAGCATTCCGCGGCCGCTATCACTTACCCCGTCCGGACCATTTGCCCCCGGGATTGTCGGGGTGCCTCGTGCCCACCCACACCTCATCGCCCACCACCACTCAGTAAACCCCCAGCATTCGCACTACAGCCCCACCCAATATAATACCAGGCGAAAAGAAGCTCCCACGATCAATACACCGTTCCGTACGTGAGATCCCCAGGAAGCACAGAACAGGTACCAGTACCGGCAAGGCAGCACGTGTACTACTACTCGACGAGGGCATACCTAAATCGGATTCTCCGCTATGGAGACCGGAATAATCGAGAAACAATCTTGGAACTTCGAGAATTTCCTTCCCCCCCCCTTTGAATTCGTGGTAGGGGAAAGGAAAGGGGAAGAAAAAAAAAGACACGGCGAGGGGATTCGCTTTTAGCGGTCGGTGGAGGGGAACAATACGATACACCTTCCTGTCTATCGTAGGAGAGACTTTCAATTGCTATGGTACATTTTTTACGGTACGGTCCCGTGTTCCAGTATCATCATGCCTCTGCTTGTGCTCGCAGGGTACGGTACCGGCAGGGCGCAGCACATCTGATCAGCTGGGGTTATCATAGTCTAGCGAACGCCAAGAGTTTGGGCTTTTTGCTTGTGGGGGGGTTTCTAATGGCGGGCATCAATCATCCGGGCGTAGTGGGTATATTCCTTCTGAGGCTCGCCCTCGAGTGCTCAATCATGATTGTCACCAAAGTGGCTATGGTATTTTATATGATCATGTGAAGAGGGAATTGGAAGAGCTGCCTGGTGAAAGCGCTTCTCGGCTCTGGGTTTGTTGGGTCCGGGACTATCGTCACTGGCGTATCAAATTTGACGGGAAAAGGTCGGGAGGTGGCCTTGCCGGTGGGTGCTATAGTATATACACATTTTACTCGAGGACAGTGTGGTGGGCCATCGTGACGATGGAGGGTCTCACGGCACGATTTACTCAACAGTTCAGCTTAATTATTACACTAAGCCAGCTTTCCCCTAGACTTCTCATTATAGCAGGCTGAGTTTGTATGGGGCAAGGGTTAGAACCCAAAAGATTATTTTCGAATTTGCTATAGTACCGGTAATGTTCTCCAATGTATACCCGTTATAACGGGGAAATTTGTGGAGCATTCAAGTTCCTAAGAGATTCCTTCATAACAGCAGTTTTTCCACTATAAGGAGGTCCATTACAGATAGCAAAGTTCGACTGTACTCGTATTATTATTGTACAATTGTGGCAACTTAATACCTTTTTCCCGACCCCAATTACCCTACTGCATATTCACTCCACTACTATCCGATCCGAGCGCAAGAAAAAAAGTCTATATAAAAACGCTAATATTCTCCAACAAGAATGCACATGAAATGAAACGAAACATCCTGGAAAGAAAATATGACTGGTACAGGAGATAAAACTAAAAAGAAGAGCATGCCATAGAGAAGTGTGTTCCAGGAAACCCAATTTTCTTTTTTGCGCCAGGAATATATGGTGAGAACCGCCTAGTAATTTAAAAACAAAACACAACACCCCTCCTAATTGTCATCCTGGTCCATATCAAATCCACATGACGATGGCCGGGAAACAAACACCACTTTTACCCCATTCTATTTCCCTTTTCCCGCTGACTCGAACCATGTGTGCTCTATGCGCTTCCGCCAAAAACCGAGCCATATTTACGACTTCTGACCAAATCCATCTCTCATGCTCTGAGAGCTAGCACTCATGGTAGGGTTGGATGTTGGGAGAACTCCAGTCTTTGACTGGGATTGCTTAACCTTCGCAAGAGCGTAAACGATTCCAGAGAAGAAACCAATGCCAATAGCCTAGAATATACTTATTACGAGGTAACCTATCGGAGATGGGGAGAGCAACTTACCGTGACGGAGAAGAAAGTAACAGGAGCATCGAAAAAGATCAATCCAGAAATAGCAAGTGGAAGCTTATTAAGAGCACCGACCATAGAATAAGTGGTAGACGAAGTGGTCCGGACACACCATGCAGAGGTATATGAAATAAAGATGGAGGAGAGTCCCGAGAAGATCATAGCAATAATTATGTTGTTGCGGCGTTCCTCGGGGAAGTTTAGGTTGATGTTGGTGGAAGACCAATCCTCAAAGAGGAGAGAGCTGAAGAAAAGAACAGGGATGGAAAGAAGGTTATTATAGAACATAGCTATAAGGAAATATTAGTGATGTACGGACGTAATAAAATGAAGAGGGACGTACTATCAAAATCTTTGAAGTTAGTCAACTTTATTCTCTTCCTCATTCCCAAGACATAGCTCGCAGAGCTCAAGCAGTTGATCAACATCCAGATATATCCGGCGTTTAGTGTGCTCAAAGCAGCGGCAGTCTCAGTGGAGCTATGGCCATAGTTGTCGATGGCGGCACTGATATCGGCCCATGCCGCAACGACAGAAGAAAGGACCATCAAGCCGAAAGAAAAGAGTGCCATTCCGGTCACGGAGCCACCGAACCATAGAACTTCACCATAGGCAATCAAGATAATGGTTAAGTTCTTAAATATGGTATAGACCGGGATTGACAAGAATTGAAGAGCTTTGGAGGAGGTGTAGATCATAAGAATTAGAAGAACGGAGATGGGAAACCCTGCAAAGAAATTATTATACGGTGTATCTATACTAGCTTCCAAGAGATACAAGGAAAAAAAAATACATACATTTTCGAGCTTCATCCATGCTGAAGTCCCGATACTTGATATAACCCATTGATTTGCCAATGGCGATGGCAACCACACAAACAATACTCTAAGAAGTTGTGCTGATTAGTAGCTGCTCGGTACTTCCAGCCCCCGTGATACGCAAGAGAGATAAGGGGAAATGCTTACCTGCACCATACACAAGAAGAAATTCAAATTAAAGTCATATCCCGACAATACATATTTATTCGTCACGGTCATGAGAATACTGGCTCCGCAGTAACTGAGGATTGGAAACAACGGATTGCTCACCACCGGAGCCGGGGGAGGTCCACGCGGCGAAGGAGGAGCAAATCCCTTATCATTACTAGGAATATCGACGCGGAAAGCCTCCTGTTTCTCTTTTTCGGCCATCACCGTAAATGCTTTGTAACCTAGGTGGCTAAAACGATCTCGTTATTATAGTCGAAGGTGGTTGTCGTTGACAACTGCTGAAGTTGGTAAAGACAAGAGGCCAAGATCCCAAACAAAAAAACGGAGAAGAACTAAAGAATGACTGGGTGAGCTGAGGATGTTACTGCAAGGAGCAGATGGAAAGGTAAGGGGAAGGGGGGTCTAGCGGTATATATCTCAACGGGAAAACACAGGAAGATGGGCTTAACAAGAGGGAGATGGCTGGTGGTAGAGGGATAGGGGAAGTCGAAAGGTTGTTCTGGCCAAGGGAAAAGAAAGAAAGGCAAGTCAGCGAGATTAGAGGCAGGGACACAAAAAGAGGGCACTATCCCCAGTTAAAGACAGGGAAACCGATGAGAGGACTAAAAGGGCCGAGGGTTTGGTAAAATAACAGGGAGAGTCAAAGGCGGGAAACGGTTTTAACTCCGGGTTTATCGTGTGTTGATATCTTTGCTCAGGGAATGGCGGTTTGAGATAGCGTGGTTTGAAAACGGTTCTTTTGGAGCTGAAGATCTGGAGGGTGAGATAAAGGGGCTGAAGGGACGGAAAGCTCAGATCCCCCCCTATTTTTAATTTCCAATTTTCTTTTTGAGAAGAGTTTTTGTGGCTAGTGTGCAAAGACGTGCGCGTTCATAAGTGATGTTACACCATGTGGCTGAAAGTGCATCAGACCCCACCAAGAGCCGCAAACCCCCCACCGAACTTTTCTTCCACCTCTGCTACATACCCGCGCCCATCTGCAAAGCATTTAGTGCCATGACGGAGGTTAGCTGCTCATATATTTCCATTGGAGGGAATCGGAATCCGGCGGCTGCGGATTGGTCACCCTCTGGGCTTCTCGCTTTCGGTGCTGGAAGATGCATATCATTGTGGAATCCATTGGTGCGTGTGGAGTCTTGCTCTTGTTTGGTTAGCTGATTAATTTTGTTTAAACCCCCAGGACCCCGAGTATCGTGGAGTCTTTTCCACCCTCAAAGGGCATACTGATCGCGTTAATGTCGTTCGATTTCTACCCGGCCAAAGTTTAGCGGAGGACATCATTATTTCTGGATCGGTTGATCAGTCACTCCGTATCTGGCAACGCCTTGAAAATTCGGATTCATTTAGTCCTTGCTCTGTTGTCGAGGGGGTTCACAAGGCTTCCGTAAGCGCTATTGCAACATGTCCTCGGCATCCTTTAGTGTTTGCATCGGCTTCGACGGATGGGATAGTTGCTGTGTTTGGTCTCTCAATTTTATCTCAAGGGAAATTAGATGTGAAGCTTCTTCAAGTGTTCTCTACTGCACCCAAGTTTTATCCCTTGGCGTTGGCACTATCGGTCCTTCCCTCTTCATCTTCACCAAGTCCTCCAGCTCTTATACTGGCAGTATCTGGATCTGCATCATCAGTCTCAATATATCTGTCCTCCTCGCTTTCATCGCAGTTTTCCCACCAAGCTACTCTATCAGGCCATGAAAATTGGATTAGGTCGCTTGCATTCACTCCCGAGGACTACTCTAACCCAGGATCAGATCTGATATTGGCCTCTGCATCTCAGGATAAGTATATCCGATTGTGGCGTATACACCCCGGGGAAGAGCTACCACCAGCAGCGGCAGAAGGTGAGAGTAAAATTTTCGGCCTTAGCAATCGCCTATCCAACAAAGTCCATCAACTTCGAGCTGAGGATGATGGAGTGTGGTCCGTCACTTTTGAGGCGTTGCTCATGGGTCATGAAGATTGGATATACACTGCTGCATGGAGGCCTCAGACGGCAGATGGGTTGGGTTTGAGATTACTGTCAACATCTGCTGATAACTCACTTTCCATCTGGGAACCCGAAGAGTCTTCAGGGATCTGGCTCACCACATCACGGTTAGGGGAGATTTCTGATTATAAGGGGGCCTCTACTGCAACTGGTTCTGCTGGTGGCCTGTGGATGGGATTATGGAGTCCGGACGGAAAGGCAGTCGTAGCACTTGGTAAAACTGGGTCATGGAGGCTTTGGAAACACAACCCTCAGGAGGGTCGATGGGTTCAGAGTGTGGGCATAGGAGGGCATGTGAAGGAAGTAATGGGCTGCTCATGGGAAAAAGCAGGCGGATATTTACTATCAACCGGGCTGGACCAGACCACGAGGCTCTCTGCGGAGTGGATCAGGGGGAATGGAGGTCCAAATTCTTGGCATGAGTTTTCGAGGCCGCAGATCCATGGGTATGATATCAATTGTATAGCTAGCCTGGGAGAGAGCAGGTTTGTTTCTGGCGCAGACGAGAAACTACTAAGAATCTTCGATGAGCCGAAAACTATCGCCGGGCTGCTTGAGAGTTTATGTGGTATAAGAAAGCTATCAAAAGTAGACCATGTTCCCCTACATAAATTGGCAGCTTCTAATAGCTGCTTGTGATTTATTAGGAACCAATGCCAGACGCAGCAAACGTTCCAGTACTAGGACTATCCAATAAAGCAGTCGATAGCTCGGCAGTACTCCCATTACCCAACGGGAACGCCCCGGAGGAAGAGAATGATGAAAGCGATGAGCAACAGGAGTCCGCTCAGTCCGCAACGTCAGTTATAGAGGGCCTTCACCACCCACCCCTTGAAGATCACCTCGCTAGGCACACACTTTGGCCCGAAAGAGAAAAGCTTTACGGCCACGGATACGAGATATCAGCGGTATCGTGTTCACCAGATGGGAAGTTCATTGCAACAGCGTGCAAAGCTAGCACCATAGATCACGCAGTTATAAGACTTTTTGAAACAGAAACCTGGCAGGAAATAAAGCCTCCCCTAAGATCGCATTCTCTCACAGTTCATGGAATGGCATTTAGCACTGATGGGAGCCGACTGTTGAGCGTGGGCAGAGATCGTGCATGGACCGTATTTGAGAAGCGGGAGGCGGGATGGGAGAAACTGGACATGAGGGAAAAGGGCCACACTAGGATCATATGGGATGGAAAGTGGGCCCCCGTTGAGGATGTGTTTGCGACCGCAAGCAGAGATAAGTCTGTCAAATTATGGCACAAGGGGGATGGGGGATGGGTGAACAGAGCTGCACTAAGATTCGAGGTACCGGTCACAGCACTGGACTTTTTGGGGGAGGTAATAGAGGGAAAGTGCTGGCTTGCAATAGGCCTAGAGGATGGAGGATTGCATGTCTATCATGTAAGGGTAGGTGATTGGGCGAGCCCGGAGCTGCTCATCAAGCTGGATGATAGGTAAGGCCGCTCCGCAATTCGCAACAAAAAGAATGCGAGTGACTAATTGTGATAATGCGGATAAAGAATCACACCTGATAGGTCGGTTACACAGATCACCTGGCGACCAACAAGGGGCCAGGTGGGGGGGAGGGATGTGGCAGTGAGCAGCGAAGATTTTTCCGTGCGAGTGTACAGTATCTCCATTGCTTAAAGCACAGATATATAGCGAACTTTATGGAGGGAAGTAGCAAAGACACGAACAAACAAAGGCGTTGGGCCGCCGTTACGCCATATCTACCCACCGTATTGCACAACCATGTGTAATCCGCACCCCAAACGCGCCTAGAGAATGCGAAAATCGAGGAAACCGCCGAGAAACCTGATCGGATACCATCTACCCGAGCATAGAGCCCAGTTAAAGAAAGCTCCCAGAACCATCCCTCCCGTGAGCGCCCCACAGATTAAAAGGGCTCCTTCTCAACATTATTATATGTCACCTGGCCACTCTTCGTCCTATCCCTGGGCCCCCTCTCCTCCAAATCCTCCACCAACCAGCCCAGCGCCAGATCCAACAATGCCGAATTCCGCATAATCCCTCCATCGCGGCACCCCGCACTAGCCCCCTTCCTCTCAACCTCCCCCAAAAACGAAGCCACGGTGCCAACCGCCTTAACCTTCCCCCCCGCCATCCTAACCAAATTCGTTGGCCACCCGGCAATCCCATCCATGATATGCGTAGCATAGACGATGGTGCATCCCCGAGTCTCCGTCTCCTCCTTCAAGAACTCCAAAAACCTAAAGCGCGCAAGGACGTCCAAGTCAACGGTGACCTCATCGATCAGCAGAATGGACCAAGGCCTGAGCAAGCCCATCGCCAACTGCACCCTCCGCCTTTCCCCATCGGAAGCTATGTGCATTCGCCAGTCGACGTCGATGTCCAGGATGCGCACCAGCTGATCGCGCCGCTCAGGGTACGCGTCCCCGCCCACGCTCGCCAGGAGCTCGTGCACGTAGATATCGTTCCGCACGATCGGGTTCAGAACCCATTCCAGACCCAGGTAGGTCACGCCCTCCAGCCCATGCGCGAATGGGTCCACGCCACCGATACGTATGCGGCCCCGGGTTGTGAGTTTTTTGCCCGAGGCGAGGCGGAGCAGCGTAGTCTTGCCGGCCCCGTTCGCGCCGATGAGAAGCGTGCGCGAGCCAGCTGGGAGGTTGATGTTTATGTCTTCTAGCCCGATGGAGTTGTCGGGGAAGGTGTAGGTTAGGTTTTGGATGTCGATTGATGGGGGGTGATGGGCCATTTTTGTGGGTGGGGTTGGTTGATGGATGTGGGGTGGTTGTGAATTTTTGGTGCGGTTAGTGGGGTATTTATTTAGTGTTTCTCTTCTCTTTTTCTCTTTTTTTCCCCCTGGGACCTGGTTAACTGTTTGCATCGGGAATCACACCAGCCCTGTCTTGGAGGGCGATCCCCCACCATGGTGAGGGAACTCTTTCTTACATACAAGCACCGTAACCGGACATCCACCCTGGCCCAGCAACAGCATGCCAACCCGCCAAGCGTGGCCTTAATACCGGTGCACGTCAACCTTGGCAGATATCTGGTAGTATCATACTTGTAACTTTTTTCCAAGGAGATTACCAGTCTGATAATAATTATCATAGTTAATATATCCCGGCCATTCTTTTGCTCCTATCATACCAAAAGTTTGACCTACCCCCAGACCCCCAACCTCTCCACGAAAACTTGAGAAACCATATTTCCCATCTCCTCTCTATCAACATGTAGAGGATGAAATGTCGTGAAGTTGCAATTCGCATGGGAGCTGTGATTGCAATCCTTTTGTAGGGGGATGTCCGAAGTTGAGCGATATTTTACCTTTTTCTCTTCGCAGACAACTCCGGCTACAGATGTCCCTCACCATAATTCTTTCTAAAGGGAGAGAGACAACGAGAAGTAAATCCCACCACCGAGTATGCCGAGATTTTCTCAAATGAATATTGTGGCGGGCAGGAGGAGGAGGAGGAGGCTCTCAAATACACGTTGAAAAAAGAAAAAAGAAAAAAAAAAAACTGCGAGCACGGTGCTTGCAGTACGATACCGAACCTCTCCCATCCCTCTAGCGCTCATGAAAAACCTCCCCCTCCCACAATCGCCTATCGTAACGTATCTCCCCGACAGCCGATAACCACTCCCCACCATGGCAAAAGCTTGTTTTTCACTTTTTTTTTTTTTTTTTTTTCCAGCCAGCCGGAAGCTTTCCTAGCGGTCCGGTTTCAGCATTTATTGACTTAGCGTCCAGGGTTGGCTATGGTACTGTACAGTACCCGTACTGTATAGTAGTCTATGCAGATCCCCGTTGTCCGGGATTCTCACCATAAGTGACTGGAATACGGTATCTGACGAGGTGCTATGTATGATACAAGTACGTATACTCGTGGCATGTCGTGTCGTTGGAGTTTGCCTTGTTTGGTAAAGTTTGGTGTGTACAGTACAGTACTCTTTTTATATACTTGAGAGTAATTTATAGTTTTTTTTTACAGTGTGTGCTTGTATGGCCGAGAGGCCTGCATTGCACTGTGCTTTTCGAGCCTTTTCTGGAGTAGGGGGAATTGCCGACTGCATGGCATACTCGAGTTCTTGATTTTGTGCTTTTGCTCACTATCAGCAGCGTGAGATGGGAAGTTAAATGGCTATTAACTGTGATTTTTTCTCTCTCTCTCTTAATATTCCTTTCTATTAATAATATTTACTAATGGATAAATGCCAGGAAACCCTCAAATATCTGCTAAGGGTTCCAACCTCCAACCTCCAACTTTCCGTTCTGGGTGGGGCACCGTCATGCTGTTCAGCCTCAGCTTTGCGGGCAGTGGTGTTCTTAATTAACGTCATTCTGGCGGGGTCGAGGAGAATCCTCAATTCGAGGGCTATCACCTCCAACTTAAAATTACCTTGTAGGTATTTTTTTTTTTTTTTTTTTTTTAAACTGCAGATCGCTATACGCAGACTTAACTACTCGTGTAATCTAGTTGTTACGTTAGCAAAACACAATTGGGTGATTTACCGTATTGCAAAAACGAAACATGCCAAAGTTACAAACATTCCTATTAAGAATTTGGTCCAATGATCTCGACGTTCAAATCCATAGTCGACCTTTGGAACAAGGTCGGTCAAGTCCTTTCTGAGAACAGTCAGCACAGTTCCGGCTTAATAATACCATATTGACTCGAGTTATCTACTATCTCCGCCACACCTCTAATCTCCGCCAATCCCCGCATCAGCGCAAAGTTGGTCTAGTTTGAAAGGTTGGTGGGATTGCGAATGTCAGTTAGTGAGATCCAACACAGTCAGCAAACACTAATTTTTCTTAAGGGTTTTTGTTTCAGAATATGGAGATTTGGGGGCCTGGCGGAGATAGTGGATAACTCGAGTTAATAGGGTATCGCCTTGTAGTCTGTGGATTCCGGGTCGCAATCTCCTGGGAAGGACTAGCATTTCCCCGGCACAGTATATAAGATGGGCGCACTGGGCGTGCTTGATCTCGTTAACTGGTACCGTATTCGCAATCCTGTTAACCCGTCAAACTAAACATATCGTGGGCTGATCTCAGCTGATAATCTGATAGTGGATTTCAAGAGATTATATCATATTCTCTCCTTGACCGCGTCGGTGAGTCGCTTGCTAAGGTAACTGTCTCGATATCGGTCTGCTCGTTCAGAATACAAGCACGCAATTCTTCATTCCGGGTTGTTGATGTCTTGTGACACAGAAGTGAACCCCCCCGAAAGCGCAGACGCCACCGGACACAGTCCGGGTATCGGAGGTTATAAATTCTTGGCAAAAGTTGAGCTACCTTATATAGACTAGGGTGACCCGGTTTTTCCTGCAGGCTATATGACGTAACTTACATGGTACAGTACGAGAACCGTATCGACCAGTCCTGGCAGTGGCTATGGTCTGTGGAAGGTGTGGGTGGGCGGGCTTCTTGGCAAACCCATAAAAAGTGTACTAGTACAAGTACTGCCTGCGTATGAGGCGAACATGTAGAACTATTATTACCCGGACTAGTAATGGGGGCTCAGCGAATAGTGCATCAAAAGTGTCCTTCAGATGATTCGTTTAATTAGCCTATCTGTTGGACCCCGCCTCGTCCTATCTTATCGCACGAATATTATGTATGTCTACTTCCGAGCGCGCTGACTGAGTACCTGTACATTCGGCTTCCTTTGTCTCTTCGCCTCCCTCCCCATCATCCTCGCCTAGAGTCCGGTATTCTATAGTCTAGTACAGCCTCTGCGAGGAACTCGAGCACTTGCTTACCTACTGACCCGTCTTGGCGTCGAGGCTCCCAGACACCCTATGAATCGGCAAGTGCCGTGGGTTCTGGTCAATTTCATGCGGGTTTCCCTTTCTTTGTGCACGTGAGAGAGCTCTCGCGGGCCGAGGGCGCGGTTGGAGGAGACTCGATAATAATAGTCTGTAGCTTTCTGCGACGTTTGTGATGTCTTTTTATTTTCTCCCCCTACTCTCAGCGGGTCTTATTGGTACGGGTTACTCGCCATTGTTGCTCAATTATCACTCAATTTCGGGGCTCTCACTTCATCAAAATTTCATTCATCATTCCGCTCTCCTGGCCCTTTCGTTGTCCCGGATGGTCCACTCTGGGCGTTGGCCGTCCGGCACGATGAGGTGTGATTGTGTGGGATTGAGGGGATTAGGCTAAGGGCTGGACTGGACTGGGATGGGGATTATTTGATGGGAGGGGTGGCAAAGTCTTGATGGGAGGCGCCTGAGTACTGTACAGTACTCAGAGTACCGGCACTGTATGATATGATAGATGGGGGTGCTCCGGCGAGGTTCATGTACTCGTACTGTGCTTGTATCGTATCCATTCGTGCCTGTTGAGGAATACTGACATATATACCTGGTTCTAACCTCCTAGCCAGACGCGATGTTGGGTATCCCAAGTGGGGAAGAATGACGAGCAGGAAGTTCTTACTCTACTGCTAGGAGGTAATCTGTTAGCCCTTGTATTCTACTGTAGAGATTCTGCTATCATGCCTTAACTTAAGTTTAGTTCCGAATCCCGAATCCCTTACATATATCCTACCCAAATACCAGCAGAAAGCTCAACCTCCTAACCTCCCAACATTACCTCGGCACGGGCATCTAGCACCGAAGCCCCCCCCCCTCCTCCCAAAGAGAAGCGGCTACCCACTCCCTTGCACCTTCCCAGCTCACAGGCACCTATTACCCCACAGTCCAACCACCCAGCGCCATCCAACACCAATCTTCCCCCTCCTCCTCGGGTACCGTATGATACACGCACCCGCCCTCACAAACCGCCTATAAAGCTCTCCAACCCCATCCCGCAATCCTACTTCCCTTCGACCACTCCACCGCCAGCTCATGCACTAAAAATCTGCCCGACCGGACCTACGCAGTGCACGCAGCGCAGCCACCGCCGGCTGCCGTGCCGAGGCGGGTAGCGTGCATATCACGCCTGTTGGAGAGGGAAGAGACTGAGGTGCAATTTAGGAGGCTGGAGGGGACTGAGCTCCTCGAGACCGTTATGGGGTGCGGGATGACTTTGAAGGTACTCGAGCAGGGGCGGGGGGTAAGCGTTGGGGAGGGGGAATGTGGGGATGATTGGGGTTTTGGCGATGATACTTGCTGGAGCTAGTCGCGCTTGCGGTTTGTGGTTGTCAAGGTAGGGGCAATTCTTGGTTTCGCTACCGGAGCTGGCCGAGATAAATCCAATGGAACAGGGAGCACGGGCCTTCGCAGCATGGGATTTTCCCCTCCTTCCCCCCTTCCCCTCCCTACCAGGAACTCGAGTGCCAGTACGGTACTGTTACTCGTACCGGTACTCGAGCACCATCTGTGTCTAGCAGCTCTATCCTACTCGAGCATGACAGCTCCTTTGGACAACTGCAGGAAAGAAAAAGAAAAAAGAAAAAAGAAAAAAAGAAAAAAAAAACCAATACAAATCAATCTTGATCTCATCCCAAGGGATCTGCTTGCCTGCCTATGGCTTTTCTTATTTTACAATCCAGACAGCAAGAGTTTGAGCCTTCCTGCGAGAGTGTTGTTTGATTGTGATGCGTGTCATTTTCTTTCAAGCTATCATAATAGTGTTAAGAGATCGGTTAGACGTGGAGTGTCCGGCACATGTCTAGCCAAATTGCACTGGAGGAACGTACAGCCTGCACATCAGCTTAAGTTTCTCTTCTTTTGTCTTTCTTGTCTCTCTACCCTATTACTTTCAAATCCAACTCACGGCTGCTCTTCTCTTCTCTTTCCTCCGCCTCAAACAATCTTGTATAGATTCGAAGGCGTGTTGAATCCAACAGGCGTTGAGGGATCCCAAACCACATCCAATCTTTTCATCTTGCGAGCGCTACAACTTAACAGCTGAGGCGTGCGTTGCAGGCTCGTCCGCTAGGGCACAGTGGTCCCCCCAACCTCGAAGCTCGATTCTAGGGCATGCTACTATCTCCAAAACCTCCAAACACGAAGCCGCTGCTCTCCATTATTATTCTTTAACACCCACTATTAGTACTATCACTAGTACTTATGAATCGTATCGATTCAACTTATGGTCAGTACCGACGCACTCGTGTAGAAGTGAGTAGATATTCTTTCTTTGAATCCGTCAACACCCTTCAAACGATAGGACATATATACTCGGGTACTAAGATGATCGCTTTCCCTTTCTAATTCTTTCAAACAGGGAATTCTGAGTCAGGGGGTTCCATCACTTGATAAAACAGCCGGCGGAACTGGATATCATGATCTCGGGGGCACTATTCCCAGTGATTTCTCATTGAGCAACAATACCCCGCAGATCTCTACGCCGTACGAATCGATAATAAATGAGGAAATTTATTTAAGGGACCCAGAGACCTTTACAAACCCAACATATCTCACACCCGGGCCATATACTGCTACGAAATCGACAGCCTCCAATTCCAATACTCTCACTCGCACGCCTGTGCCCGCTGTTGGGGCACATGTTGAACACGGAAAACATGGGACCTCTACTAGCTCAAAGAGAGGGAGAGAAACCGGCGGGAAGGGCGGCAGCCAGCAAGGCCCTGCGCACAAGAGGGCTAGACGAAATCGTGCACCTTCTGTACGAAGTAGTAACGTTGGAGCGGGGGATGAGGATGAGGAGGACGAGGAGGACGAGGACGAGGAGGACGAGGAGAGTGATGAAGACGATGCGCCTATCATGAGCTCTGGCCCGAAAGAACCGAATGTGCTCCTTTGTCCTATGCCTAGCTGTCGCGGTAAGGGCAAGCAATGGGACAATTGGAACAACCTCATGTGGGCCACCTTTCCCTCCTGGGTGCTTTTAAGTTTTGCTCACGCTCTATGGTATAGCCAACATCTACAAAATACCCACATTAAAGGGTTTAGCGTTTGCGAGCGGGGTTGCGGACGACGCTTTGGGCTCTCAAGCCAATATACCCGTCATGTCTTTAAGCGTAAGAAAGAATGCAAACCGTTACCATTGAGCGGTCCCCCTCGGAGGATACCTCCACTGGCCTTAGATTTCAACCATGCCGTTGCGAAGGTGAAGGGCCAAAATTACGCAAGACTAAAGCAAGTCATCGAGGCACACAACTACTATGATCTGGAAGGTATCTATATCTATATACAATATCTCGTAGAGCACCTTTTTACCCTTACTGACCCGGATCAAGATCCTAATCATCCTGAACATCGTGTAGAACCCTCTTGCTATAGTACGAGCAGCCAGAACCTCCATCAATACAATCCGCAAGGGCAACTAATGCCAGATTGGGTAGAGCAAATCATCAGGCTGCTTACAGGGCATCAGAGAGTTTGCCAGATGCATCCTCAAACTGACCCACCACCCAGTGACCCTGTACGGGCGGACGGTCGGCTTAACGGTTCATCAGGGTTAGTCGAAAACCAGCATATTCCACAAAATTCAACAGATCCTACGATACCACTACAACTAAATCAACCCGCCGCTCGCCGACCTCACGTATATGGTACGCAGCCCTCAGCTATTGCTGCATGTATTCCGGATTTTCAGAATGGATCTAGTTCTAGTATATCGGGGGGCTACACCCCAAGTTTTACGCGGCGATTGGGTCAGGATACTCAGGGCGGGGGTTTTGCGCGATTTGGTACTGGCGGTAAGTGATAGCTACAGAAATCATCTTCCATTGCCTGTTCTAACTTTTCTCGATAGACTATCCTCAAGTCGTGGGAAGCGATTACCTGAGTCAGTGTCCAACCCACACTGGTAGTTATATCGGAAATAACACTCGTGCAAACCGTGGGGCCCCGCCATCGGAGCCGGATCACAGCCCTTTGCCATCGGACATTTTTCCCTTTGGCATAGGGGTTCCCTATGTGGACGGAACGAGTGATGCTCCTCATTTTAATATGGAGTCTTAATGTATAAAGCTCCCGCTTTTCTTCGGTGAATTTTCAACAGCGTATCCTTGGCTAGAAATTGACCTCTGGTTTTGGGGGTTACTGCAGCCAGCCCCGATGGAGGTCATTAAGGAACCACCAATTATTCGGCTATTCCACACTCGCTTTTATCGCGCTCCCCTTTGTTATTCCTTTCTTACGCCTAAACAATTGATGTTTTAGCCCCATTATTAACTATTCCCTTTCACCTGTGGACCGTATGGTATGTGTCCCTACCTCTTCACTCCCTGATTCCAAGAGTTTTTCTTTCTTTCTTGTCTTCCTTTCTCTCTCCCTCTTCCTTTTCCTTTGTTACGGGTCCCAGTTGGCAATGGGGAAAGGGTCGGACACGAGGAGTTGGGGTAGACCCCTAGCTTTCGGGCAATGACAGAAGGGGCATAGATCTTCCACAGATCTTGAGGAAAAAGGATAGGTATAGACAGGTAGATGAGGCACTCTATTAAAAAACCAAAGTGCCCATACGACTTTATGAAGCTCGCCGATCTTTCATTACACTCCCTTGTTTTCCCTTCTATATTGCTTGTATGTAAGAAAAACGGGAAAACATATCCCTAACGTTTTCCGGTAAGAAATTTCCGCCATTCACAGATGGGTTCAGAAGCCAGCAGATACTTGCATGGGCAGAAGGTGCGAAGTGCAATACTCCAGCAACCACTCAAACACTTCAGAAATGTGCACGGAGAATTGCTATTGCGCGGCGGATATTCCGCCAATAAAATCCCCCCACTAGGCGGGCATGTGATGTTTAAGCTGTGCCTATCCCGAAAGCCAAGCCAGACCAAAAAAAAAGAACACCGTCGACGTCATACTTCACCCGGAAGTTTTACTCGAGGCAGATTAGCTGTGGACCCAAAACCAATCCCTAATCTAACCTCCTCTCACTAATTACCCAAGTGCAATCATCAAAATCCATCTCCATCCCCCCCCCCGGCAGCAGAAGGCATGAATCGGGGCCTCTGCTCTTTCCTGCGTCAGCCACCTCCTGGCCGCCGCCTGCTGCCGAACTTCTGCTTCACCCCTTGGTCTCGAACCAACGGGAATGTTTCAAATCGGTTGCATACGAATTGGAAGTTGGGAAGGAGATACTCGAGTACTATCGGTTTGCAAAAGAGCGGATTTATAGACGTGGCGCCAGGGGAGGGTTTGTTGTTTTTTGATAGTTCGTAGATGAAATCTTACACCTTTTATCATTTCTTGAATATATTTTGGCTAATTTGCAAAGATGTCTACCCCCTCAAAACGGCAATCTACGACATCCGCTACCTAATGATGCGCTACGACAAGCAATCCATAGAATCGCGCATCCGGGCGCAATACATTCCGGAGGGCCTCCTCAACTCGGAATTCACTATAACGGAAATAGTGCCAAGATTGAAAGAGGGAGGTGCATTCGTCAAGTTCCGCTCACGGAACGTGGAAGAGACGGAAGCCATCATCGCGGATTTCCTCAGAGAAAAGAAATTGAAGCCTTGGTTCTCGCCGTTCAAGCGGGTTAGGGCATTCATTGTAAGGGGGAAACCGTGGTTAGAAGACTTGTATAGGTTTCCGAGCACGAGGTTGAAGGTGGAGTTTATTGGTGGTGAGGGGAGTCTTAGCCAGGAGGCTATATATGCACTTTTTAGGCGGTACGGGAGGATTATCGACATACTCCCTCAACCGCCGGGATCGAAGGAATTACCAAAGTTTACGATTGTGCAGTACCTCCGTACGCGTAGTGCTACTGCAGCAAGGAATTGTCTGCACGGGTACACGATCCCAGGAACGGAGGCTGTTCTTGGAAAGGAGCCTGGTGTGACGTTAAGGGTTCTGTACGAGAGGGCTATCAAGACTAATTGGATAAAGGATTGGCTGTTCAATCATCCGAGAATTGTGATCCCGCTGGTAGCAGCGTTCGTAGCAACATTCACCGTCGCCATATTCGACCCTGTAAGGACTTGGTTCATCAAAGCCAAGATCACCGGAGCCTTGAATATTAGCGATAACACATACTATAATTGGTTGAAGAGACATACTATCGGGATGTTGCCTATCGGAGCCAAGCACACGGACATGGATGATTTATGGGCGGTCTGGGATGAGCGCAAGGAACAAGTCGAGCAATTAAAGGCATGGCTGTCAGAAACAGTGGAGACGTTCATCGTCGTGCAGGGCCCCCGAGGGTCCGGGAAGAAGGACCTGGTGGTCGACACCGTGCTAGCGCATAGGGAGAATGTCCTCATCATCGATTGTGAGCCCATCGATGAGACGCACGGGGACAGTGCAGCTATCGCTGCGGTCGCGGCGCAGGTTGGGTATCGGCCTGTATTCTCATGGTTGAACACTATCAGCAGCTTGTTGGATCTGGCAGCGCAAGGGACTATTGGGAGTTCAGCAGGGTTCAGTCAGACTCTGGAAACTCAGTTTAATAAGATTTTGCAGAACACCGGAACGGCGCTTAAGGTAGTGGCGCTTCGAGATAAAGGTACCGACAATAAGGACCAAGGACTCAGCGACGACGAGTACCTCAGCGCACACCCCGAAAAGCGTCCCGTAATAGTAATAGATAATTTCCTGCATATGGAGGGCAATAGCATAATCTACGAGCGTCTCGCAGACTGGTGATTACCTCCCCCCTACCTCATACCTCATCACTCGAGGCTAACCTCTCTTGCTTGATAGGGCAGCACTCCTCGTCTCGGCGAACATAGCCCACGTAATATTCCTAACCAACGATACCTCCTTCAGTAAATCGCTTGCGAAATCCCTGCCTGACCGCGTCTTCCGCTCAATCCTGCTGGGCGACGCTCAGCCAGATTCCGCAAAGCGCTTCGTGCTAAAGCACATCGACAACCAACTCGACGGCGCCGCCAATGAAAAGGCCCGTGCGGAGCTCGACGACAGCATCCAAGCCCTGGGTGGCCGCCTAACAGACCTAGAGTTTCTCTCTCGCCGCATCAAAACCGGTGAGACGCCGAAGCAAGCTGTCGGCGCAATTATCGAAACCTCGGCGCAAGAGATCCTCAAGCTTTACCTCCTCGAGGAAGCCGGCCGTGGCAAGCGCACCTGGGCCACCGAGCAAGCCTGGTACCTCGTCAAGACGCTCGCGGAGAAGGGTGAAGTCGCCTACCACCACGTACTCGTCCACGACCTGTTCAAGTTCGCTGGCGAAGATGCGCTGCAGAACCTAGAACAGGCCGAGCTTGTCACCATCGTCACGAGGAATGGACGGCCCTGGTGCATCAAGCCCGGGCGCCCTGTGTTCCAGGCTGCCTTCGGGCGCCTTATGGCGGACCGCGTGCTGTGTGCCCGCATGGACTTTTTGAGCCTCGCTTCGCTAATTAAGGTCGAGACGGCAGCCATCCAGAAGGCTGGCGAGGAACTCGAGAAGATTGCTGGGCTGCCGAATCGGCCGAAGGAGAGGATGAGATTCCTGCTCGCTAAGATCGCTGAGGCGCAGGGGAAAATTGACAAGTATGAGGAGGGGATGAAAAAGTTGAAGGCGGTGCTTAAGGAGGAATATTGACTTGGCTAAGGCGGTGCGGTACGGTTTTTTGTGCACTTCCTGCATTACTAATGGGAACACGAGCATGTAAATGGAAGTTTAGCCTAGACACCGCTTCGTGCGAAATCTAGCGAAGGGTACAAACACCCTATCGCACTCCACTCTACTTCACCTTACTTACCACGATCGCTTCACCAGTGATCAACGAGTGACTGTTGGTGAACCCCGCTTATCAAAGTGCTATTATAGCCTAATCACAGCCCAGCTTACGCAACCATAATCAAAATGCAAAGTAGAACGACTCACGCCCAATTGTGCTGAATATTGTATTTGCCAGCACCCCTTATTCAATACCGCCCGTCCAAGGGAAAGGCAACACCCGCCCAGCAGAATATTTCAACGAAAATCTCACAACGTGGAGGAATAAAAAGGAACCAATGAAAAAAAAAAGGGGGGGACAATATAACAATAAGGAGAAACAAAAGAAAGGTAAAACGATACCAAAGGACTACGTATTGGTATCATACGCGATTTCCAGCGGTGCCGTCCAATACCCACCCACCCTATTCTTGCCACATTTCCCCCCATCCCCATTTCCAACCCTACAACCCGACCCAACCCAACCACCCACTCCAAAAGGGAAAAAAAAAAAAGGAAAACCCCTTCTACAACGAAAGATTATACGTATAATCCTCCTCAATATTCTGCGACACCCAAAGCACGACTGAGGAAAGCATGACGCAAGCGCTCCCCACGACCCCCGCGACCCCGAATCCCAGGGTGGGCCAGGGGTATGCGGGCACGACGTACTTCATGATGAGCACGGTGGCGGCTCCCGCGAGTCCGCCGGCCATGAGGGCGAAACCCATGAAGAGCACCAACTTCGCCTTCCAAGCGACGCCGTTGCCGCTGTAACTGTAGCTGTCGGCGACGAGCCGGCTGCGCTCGATGGAGTTGATGACGAGCATGCCTAGGATGCTGCAGATGAGCGGGATCCAGTCCACTATGGTGATGTGCACGTCGCCGCCGTTCGCGTGCTTGCTGTAGACCGACGCGTCCAGGAGGAGGAAGAAGCCGAGGGAGAACTGGTTTGGGGGGAGTTGGTTAGTTTGTATGTTACGTATGTATGTATATGTGTGTGTGTGTTTGGGAGGTGGGGGTTAAGTACGAGGGCTCCGGAGGTGTATACGCCTGCGGTACGGAGTACAGCGGAGGAGGGGAGTTTGGGGACTGGGAAGCGCCAGAGACGGGACATGGCTAGTGTTTTTTTTTCCTTCTTCTTCTTCTTTTTCTTCTTTTTTGGTGGTTTGCTTGGGTTTTTGGTGTAGTGCTGAAGCTCGTGAGCTGAGTTTAGCGATGATGGCGGGGTTGGGAAGGAAAGCTTGGGGGGATAGCCAGGTTGGCTTCGGTAAGGTTAGGTTGACATGATGAACTGAGCCTCGATGAAAAAGACAATTGAATTGTCAGGATTTGTCTTGGCAAATCACACCTCATCACTCGGCCGCGTCGTCCAATCAGGTTGATTCGGAAAAACTAGGGATAGCCTATTGATAACTCCACCAAAAGTCCCGAAAGTAGTACGATATGTAGTACGAATATGTATTCAGAATAAAAACATGGCAGCCTTTAGTTTAACAGCCGTGTGCTCCGCTTTACCTGTCCTGAAACAAAACCCAGAGCTAAAGAAACAAGAGAAAGTGAAAAATATAATGCGCCCCGAAAAAAAAGACTTTTGTCTTAAACCTTGGAAAGAAAAATTACCGGGCCGTTGTGTAACAGCGAAATGAATACAACCAGAAAAAAGAAAAGAAACAGTAGCTCTTTACGCTCCCAGGCTCTCCTTAGGGACGAACGCTGCGACCGTACCAGTAGTTGCCACTATAGTGCAAACCACAATGAGGATCTGATTTATCCTACGCTCCCTTTTTGGCACTTCGTCTCCATAAATCTTGAGATAGAACATCATGGGGAGGATGACACAAATTGAGAAGCAAAGCGCGGATCCGAGGAAAGCCATGATTCGGTCAAAGGATGGGACAAGGATAGCAATGATAACGATGGAGGCGTTTACGCCAACTGAAGACAAAGTCAGTCACCGATAATAGCTAAGGCTATGGGGGTTTTACTTCTTATAACGCTTTTCAACAAACCGCAAGTTAATCCAGAAGTTCCAACCGACTCCCCTTGCAATGCTATAGCTCGAGGATCTACACCAGCGAAGATCTCAAGCGTGGTAATAATTGGTCGTGCACTGCGATCTAGTTAATATTATAGCCAGAAGTACAGGGTGACTGGGACATACTTCAGAGGTGTCTTGGTCAATGGGATAATCGCAACAAACGCCACCATGGCCATACTGAGGGCGGCAGGGTACCCAGAAAGCTCCAAAATATTCGAAGTAATTTCATCCAACACTCCATCTCCAAACATTAATATGCCGGTGACAGCGAGGGTTATGTCAAGGACGAACTAAAACCAATTAGAATAAATTTACACTGCTTTGTCGCGAGTGATACATACTGTGAAGATGTATGTGATGTCGACAGCTTTGTTGTACTTCTTCGGGTGACGCATATCTTTATAGATGTTTGGGAACACACTATGGCCTCCCCAAGGGGCTAGTTGTTGGGCAAATATTAGCACATTTGGGTTTAAGACCGAAGCAGCTCGGGCAACTTACACATGAGCAAGCCAAAGCTCAAGGGTATTGTCCACCAGCTTGGAGGGAATAGATACGTAGGCATTGGCTCCCTTAAGCTCCCAGGGGAACTGGGTTTCAACCAACCATCAATAAAGATAATCATAACAACTAGTTTCAATCGTTAGAATGATTCACAAACCCTTCGCCTGTGCGCAGGGGGTAACTCACTGCTGAAGGTAGAGAGAATCCCTAGAATACTGCTGAAACTCAACACCTTCAAGGGTAAGAAGCTCAAAGGAGTCAACACAAAGCCCGCAATGATCTTCCACTGAAACTTATCGATCTGAGGGAATAGTGCATTCAAGCTGTCCGAGAACAGGACAACCAACGCGACGCACGCCGCCATCAACTCCAGTGAGAAAAGGACCGAAACGCATATCCGCGATTTGTGCCCGTAGGCAATGTAGGCAATATCGGAATAAGTTACCAACGACTGGTTTGGGGATTTGTCAAGGCAACGGGCAAGAAGCTTTCCGGTGTAATTCGTTATCAGGGCGGAACAGACCAAGAATATTGACCCTATCAGCCTATATCACCCGAATCCCTGTCAGCTCATTCCGATGCAAGATAGGTAAGTCAACGAGACAACCTACCACCCACTGTAACGCAAGCCAAGAGGTAAGCTCAAAAGACCAATCCCGATAAGGACGTTGACGCTATTGAAGACTGTTTGAGGTAGTGTGCTCTGACCGACAATAACCTGCTCGACCTTTCCACTTTCAGTTGTAACGGTGGTTACGAGGAGCGGCTCCCTCTCTTTATCCAGAGTCTCATCCACAACGACTACCTCGCCGGCAGTTTGTTTCTGGACAAACAGATCTGCGGCATGTCTTGTTGCCGTATGATCCAGTCTTGCTCCGGGAAAACCCGTATTCATGCTCCCATACATGGGAGTCCGGCCATAAGATCCAAAGCCAGTTGTCGGTAGGGAAGCCCTCGTAGCGAGGTGTCGGGTGACCTCGGCGTCGTCATAATAGCTTTCGTCATCTATAGCAGAGGACGAGGCAGGCTCCTCCTCGTCTCTGGAGGGGTCGACAGAGACGAAGGATTGCCGGGACGGCGTAATTTCAAAATAACCAGCAGCTCTAGTCCAAGAGCGAGCAAAGTTGTCAAGGGAATTCACGCCTCCAGCGTAGCGAATTGCATCCAAACCTAGTGAAAGGGAAGACCTAATTCCCGAATAGCGCCTGCAATGAGCCCAGATCCAATGAAGGAAAGAGAGAGAGAGAGAGGAAAAACAGGATGTTAAACCCGGAAACGCAGTGTTCCGTTCACATCTAAAAGCAGAATGATTGGGCGGAAACATACCTTCGCTGACGGAGGCCCGTAGGAGGTATATCTACATTGGGAGAGATTGAAGTTGGCGAGATATCATGATGGACAGGAAAGTATGCACCCGGAGTAGGTGTTGGAGACCCGGAGGAGAGGTTTGCTTCGTCGTTTTTGGCCGAATAACTCATAGGAGCTAGGAAAAAATCGAGTGCAAACGCTCTCAGAAGTAACAGAACAATGACAGAAACAACCTTTTTTTCTCACGCCTGAGCTGCAGAGTGGACAGTAGCAGCAGCAGCAGGAGGATTGGGAGCAGCAGCAGATAAATGCTGGGAAGGAGAGAGATGGTAGCAGTTATTGCGGTTGGTGGTGGGGAAAAGAGGGAATTGGAAAGAGATATCTATCGAATTTTCAATACGGTAGTCCTACCATCCAATTGCAATGGCCCTGATAAATATACCAAGGGCAGATAGGCACACCCACCCCTGCCAGAAAGGAACGAAGAGCTCTCTAAAAGCCACAGAACCCTAACGGTGCTCCTCCACTACCAGCACAGGATGGGGGGGGAGCTGGAAATATGGAAAGGTGTGGAGAGGGAGAGGGGGAGGATGTAGGGTTGGAATATGAAATCCGACGCCTACTGTAACAGTCATCCTAACTGGATCTGGCCGGTCAACGATTTTATGGTTTCACGGCTCTTAGCGAAAAAGTGAAGGCAAAACCAATTCTGAAAAAAAAAGCAAGAGAGAGGGCTAGCTGAGTTGAAGGATCTTCGCTAGTCTACCGCCCTCTCCGTTCTCAGATTTTTTAATCCCTCCAACTTGCTATGTTCGGACTGCCAGTAACAGGCAGGCCAAGGGGAGTCACGATCAAAGATTCCTACCACGCTCTGGGGAGGGGGGTTGAGGTGTGTAAAAGAGGGACTGTTCCTTCTTTCGCATAAGTACGGTACCGGTAGGTGACGGTAGGTGATGGTAGGTGACAGTGAAACAAGAATGAAGAAGTTATTGCGGGTTGCTGCAGAGTGCAGGCTAGACCATTGCCAGGGTCAGGGCAGCAGGGAAGACGGAGGCGAACGAAAAAAGTTTAGGAGAATGAGGAAGGGGAGAGCGCGAGAAAGCGCCACCGGCCGTTGACATACAAGATCCACAGCTTTCTGGAGCCACCTCCCCACCTGTCTGCTGCTCCGTGCTCACCATTTTTCGCCCGCAAGATGCCAAATGGTGAGAGGATGGCGAGAGAGGAGGGGGGTGCGAGAGAGAAAGAGAGAGAACGGAGGGAGCCCGCGTATGACATCAAGACCCAAACAGAGGCCTTTCAATAAATCCAACCATTTAGAACTTGCAACACTCGATGAGTTACCCCAGTTGTGCGCCTCAAGCCTCCTACCGTACCGGTATCTCGAGGAATCCTGACCCTGCTTGATCGAGAGCAAGAAAAAAAAAAAGACTGCCCCTCAATAAATCATACCCCAGCTTTTTAACCACCGGGAGTATTGTGTGGAAATAGAGTATATCATTCATCACCATCGGGCATTCTTGCTTCATGTCGGTTGTTTCGTTTCCAAAACCGGAGGATCAGGAAAAGGAAAAGGAAAAGGAAAAAAAAAAAGCCAACTCGTATACCCCCTCCTACACCTTATTCCCTTCACATCGGGCTCAAAGGAGCGAGGAAGTGAAAGCAAAAATAAAATAAAAACGATATATCATCCCCTTCCAGATGCGGTCTTAAAATACCTTTTTTTCTTTCAATCGTTTCCATCGTCTATCGGTGGCCGGTACTTTTCCCATTCATATGAATCTAACGTCAATATCTCTTCACATCTATTTCCTTTTTCATTGTCACACCCCGTCTCCGCACGCACTTGCATACCAGACTTTTTGGTACCATCGCGAAAACTGTCCTCTTTTTTTTTTTTTGCGACCCACCGGAAATGAGGCCCATTTTTTTTTTCTTCCTCACAGTAGCCTCCTCCTAACTTAAATGTGATTGTTCGAATGGAAGGGTAAGAAAGGTGGCCAAACAATTGTTGCTGTAGCATTGTGAAGCAGAGAAGCAGGAAAGGAAGAAGCAAAAAATAATATCACAACTTCTCACCGTTTCGGCAGTTGGAAGAGAGACGGAGAGAGAAAGAGAAGGAAGAAAGGCACCTCACTGATCAACCCTCCACTCCTCCCTCGCCCCCTGTTAGAGGGCAGGCAAGGCTGTGCTTTAGTGCTGGCCCATCTGGCTGTATGCCGTGTATTGAATAGACCTGAATTGAAGGAGTGGTTGGCGATGCTTAGCCACCTGCACCCCATATATCTATCATGCAATCGGTTCCCACTTGCTTTTGCATTCTGCTGCATTGTGCGGTTGATGTGGTGGATAGGGTATCATACATCAGCATAACTCGGCCCAGTGTACGAGTACTTTTGTGGTGCGAGCAGACTCTCACTTCCTACCTACTTCTCCGGTGCGGGCACCATACCGTATCGTAAGTTATCTCACCCCGGACCACATGATCAGAAGCGCGGAGAAGAGGAAAAAGGGAAGAGAGAAAATAAAAATGAAAAAAATATCATACAATGCAACTCAACCCCCCCTCCCGCAATTGACTCTTACCGCCGCCGCCGTCGCCCTTTCAATGACGATAGTTATATTAGGCGCAGTCAGTGGATCAACGCTCAATGCAACGCTTAGCAAGCCAGTGAGCAAGCAAAAGGTCAGAGCTAACCCCCCCATCAGAGTGTTTGATTAAGAACTCCTCGATCCTGCGCATACGGTAAGTGCTCACGATATCCGTCTTCCCTCCATCCATCCGAGATTCATCCCCTCATTATCATTTCCAGCGCAGTCATCGTCACCGTTCGCCCCACAGCAGTGAAAAACAGCGAGCGAGAGAGAGAAGGGTCAGAAAAAAAAAGAAAAGAAAAAAGTTGAATCGGTTCCCAGCTTTTTTAGGATCTGCACCCCTTGTTCCTTTCAACGCATCGTCAAGTGTTTCCTTAACTAGTTTCTCTAGCTCACCCGTCTTTGGGATTTGTGATAGCCCTCCCTCCTTGACGAACCATGCAAGCAGCTATAAGCCCTGTTAGTGCCTTAACGATCAAGAAGCTTTTTCTGGACCACTCACGGTACCGTATAATCTCTTGAAATCCACTATCTCCGGCAGCCATGTAATCTTCGGACCCTGAGTCAAAGCTCGTGGGAAGGCCGTGAGCGTTTTCCCGATACGGTATAAGATCGGCGCACTAGGCGTGTTTGATCTCGTTAACTGGTGTTCGCAATCCTGTTAACCCGTCAAACTAAACAAATCATGGGCTCCCGGGCTGATAATATGACAGAGGATTTCGAGAGATTATACGGCATCTCCTACGACGGTTGTCGGCAGAAACCTAATCTGCCGTTTTACAGTCCCAATATCTCCCATAGCCCTAGTAAATTGTCAATGCTAATGACCTGTTACCATTGATTTGATTGCTCACTTGGGCCATTTTAGTGAAATTGTCTTCCAAACGGAAGACACGGAACCCTAGAGAGGTGCCGATATATAAAGTTAGCAAAGTTCACAATGGGTTCGGTGAAGCTATACCTTGGGGAGCCAACTTGAACGCCTTTCTTCAAACTGTTGGAAATCACAAGGTACTACTCGGCATGCTCTGGTCATGGTTTCCTTCGACAAGACCTGGAGTCTTCGGTAATGCCCACGGCGATGCTAGAACACGCTCGAGCATTAACCTGAAGGTAGTATCGCTGAGAAGCTCTAGAAAGCAGAAGTTCTTCTCAATACATTTACCTTACCACGAGATTGCAGAGAATGTTCTTTTTTCTTTTTCGTTATCAAGCGAGAAAGTAAGGGGATGGGGACATGCATGGGGGAACATGGATATGTGTGGTGATCGGGAGGGTGATGGAGATGATTTCGTCATGTTTTATATATACCGCAGCTCCCGAGAGAGAGGTGATCGCAGAGAACGAACCCACGAACTATCCACACTCAAATTTTAGCCCGAGAGCCGGACCAATTTGAAGAGGTATCATACTCCTGCCAAGGTTGTGACATGTCGTCACAACCCCTGGCTCCTCGTTTTCTCGCAAACGGGAGCACTCATACTGGGTGCCTGACCAGTTGAACGTGAATTTGCAGTTCAACTGGCTCAATAGGAAAAATTGAATATTGGCTTATGACTATGACAGAGTTGCAAAATAACCGTACAACAAAAAGTGGCCGTAGCAACACCATTCCCCACCAACCCCACCATAATTACAAATTCGGGGCAATGGACTTCGGTTACTAGGCTCATAGGCCTCCGGTAACCTCAAATACTACTTCTCTAAAGTGGTATTACTCCATCAGTTCTGGTCTGTTTTACATGAAACCACCTAGGGACCATTTTCCAGGTTCTCCAGTTCTTTCTAATATATCCTGTGGACAGCTTCTGGTTGACTAGACGGTATGAGCATATATGGTATTACAGGAGTGTCTCTATTTATAAACTTTAACTAGACTTATGGCAACTCTCCATGCTGTGGCCCATGATACTTGGGACTTATTATGAGGCCAGAGGGGGGTGTTAGCCACCATACCTTCAAGTTACAGCTTGTTCAGAGCTTAACTACTTATATGTGAGTAATTCATACAACCTAACATTTGAACAGCCTATGTAGTTTTGCATGACTGTTAGGATTGTGCCTTGATTCCCATAGAATATAGTTGTATGACAGATAATGGGTCTCACCATGGGGTTAATAAGTGTTATTACTTCTGTCTTCTTTGGTATAGTGATTGTCTCATAATTGTCTCCAATTGCTTAAGAGAATACTCTTATTCTCTTAAGTACTTCTAATAGCAACTATTGTTCACTATACTTGTTGTAGTATTACTGTAGTAAGATATATAAGGTATGAACAATAAAGTAGTATTCGTAAGATATATGCTATGAAATAACTCAGATGGTTGTATAAAGATCTATCTCTAAGACTGATATTTCATTTTCAATTAACTCATATATTTGTTATTTTATCCATTGTTACAAACTCTACTTGACTTATAAAGGATTTGATATATTATAGTTTTGATTAATAACTCATGTGAGTTGTATGATGTTATGATTATTCTTCGTATACATGACTTGCTTAGGGGTCATATAGATTTTGCACATGACTTAGATTTTAAGTCAGTTATGTTGTAATAAAATGGTTAGTAGGATAGGACTAAGACTTGTAAAGCTTAATTAGATTTCTGTAATGACCCTCCTTTGGATAGTTAGTTCTTGGCAATGGAGAACAATACTTCTCTTCTTCTTTTACTGTACGATAGCTCTTAGGCCTATGCCTCCGTTACTGATAGTATAAGACTAATGTCTTCTATTTGTAATGCCTATTGTAAGCTTTCTCAAACTTTACCTCATGTAGAGTATTCTCCTTGCAATAGCAATAGTGGTCATGATAATGATAAAGAGTACAAAGGTGTTTTATATTTGTTAAAGTAATAAGTAGGAAGAGTAATTAGAACAAGGCGTGAAGAGTCTAACCTCCTCAGCCATACTGACCTCTTTATATAGTACTCTTTCTACCACAAGTCATGTGACCCAAAGTGGTTACATGCCCGAAACAAAATCATAACAAACTAATTATATGATCAAAGTGGTCACAAGCTCAAATTCCATAACATCATAGTAAGGTCATGTGCGAAAACTTATAAACTAATCATAATACAATAAACAAGTTTTATGACCTCAAGTGATCACAAGTGTGACATTGATGACCTCATAATGAGGTTATGTGTGAAACATAAATCATATGGCCAAGACATACTCACAAGGCATACTTGCAAGACATACTCGCCAGGCACACCTCTGATAACTCATAATCGAGTTATGTGCGAAACATAGCAAATCATAACATAATAAGTCATTTGACTTAAATGAATCATACACGTAAAATAATTACATACCTATGACTCATAATCATGAGTCATTTAAAAATCTTTTCCTTGATAAGCCATGTTCATGATATTAGCTCCTTTCTCCCTAAGCCTGAGTCCTATTATGCTTTTTCTTCATATTTCAATAGTTCCTGTTGAGCTGCCTGCATAGTTCTCCGGAGCATATTGAATTTGTCGTCTGCTGTCTGCCATCTTATCCTCACCGATTCCAGTGTAAGGTTTGCCATTTTGATCTTGT